TGTCAGAGGCCGTGAGTGTGCCCTAGACTTTGATGAATTCTTCGAATTGGCCGGGACTGATCGTCTGCGTGGTCATCCCTTTACACTGCAGAGGAAGCTGGCTAATTCGGACGTCCGACGGAACGCCTTCTCTCACATGGTCATTGGGGCATAGAACGGACTCCCGGATGCGATGGTTCTTTCCGAAAGTGTCGAATCCCTTAAGTGTAGACTACATGCTCATTTGTTGAGAAACTGCTGTACATATAATCAAGATTGTTTTAGCGGCGGCAGTTTGCGCCTGGCTCACAATTGCCGCTAACTTTTTAACTTTCCGCATTTGCTGATGTAATTAATGACTTTATTTCTGTTTATCGATATGAACAGGGAGCTCAAGGTCGAAAGCCTTATTCCCTTAATAAACTGACTTAAACTCTGTTTTGAATTGGCTACTAGATCCACTACTATCGCTCCTCCGCCACGGCGACTATTTTCGCGGTTCTTGCTGTCATCTCCCTCATTTCGACTTCAAGCGGTCTGTCGTCGCTCACGGCGAAACCCTAAGAATTCGCCGTCTACTAGTAGTTTGGTCGTATCTCCCTTGCTCCCTTCTCGGCTTAGCTCGGAACGGACTGTGATCGATCGCATCTGGGTTCCTCTCGGCTGGCCTCTTTGACGGGAATAGTCTCATCTGATGTATCAATTCTGCCCTGATGATGTCCGTTCAGACTCCCGTATACAATACCACATGCAGGCCAGTCCTATCTGACCCATATACATACCCTTTCATGAAATCCGCTAAACACTACCACATGCAGACCGGCTCTGCCCGCACTCTTACAATTTCCTGAGCGACAGTTTTTCTCCTTTAAAGTTAATCTAATCAAATCCATTTTGTTTATTTGGTAAAGGAGTTTTTTCTTTGTTCGCTCCTCATTTTTTTCTGGCCAAACTGCTTCTTCGAAAAGCATGAGCTATATATTCTGGAGATTCTGTCCATCTGTTTTAAAATTCATATGAAAATTTATTTTTACTTGCTGTGATGGGAACCGAAGGGTCTCTAATAAAAAAATTCATTTATTTATCCAAAGTGGTCTAATCGAACTGAACAAGATAATTTATTAGGATTTCAAACTGAAACCCTTTGTAGCAAACGAACCACGCACACCGCGTCCCCTAGAAATATACTACGCTAAAAAATACCGACGCTCAAAAAGACTTGGTTTGGTTTATCAGCTGTTATTCATTAGCGATGGAATAACTGCTCAAACCGAAAACATATAAACCAAAAAACGACCTTATGACGAGTCAGTAATTAAAAATCTCATATAACTGGCAACGGAGGAAAATAAAACACAACAGGACATAATAAAAAACAGCAAAAAATACTGGGTATTAGTACTTTGATAACTGATATTTTGCTTTTAGAATTAATCTAATTTATGAAAACACAAAAACGACTAAATTGTCTATGATGGTTTGGTCTATACGAATAGTAAGCACGAAAGTTGAATTTCGTTACGAGGAAAGGCACTTTCTTGTCTTTTTCCAGCTTATTTTGATCCCCACAAAGAAAGTTTTGCTGGGATTGGGATCAGGAATGGCGACTGAAATAAATCTGCTTCGAATGTCGGAGGCGGAAAGGCTGTCTATGGTCTAACTGATTAAATTGTAGCCGCTGGCTAAATTAGAATCATTCCCCTTTTGAGCTTTAAACAGGGTCATTATCCTACGAAATTACGGTGCTCATCGGACTTCGGTGAATGCCGCTGCAGCTTAATGCGTCCTTTACGATGTCTATGAATACCCTCCCATTTATGGCCTCCGCTGTCAACCGCCAGGTCGGTCGCTATCCGAGTTTAATGGCCATCCAAGCCATCAGGTGTCTACAGCTCTTGAAAGTTGCTGTTGATTCAGTGTGCTCCCGTGGGAAATTCATCCCACCCGGGTCGACTTCGGAGGCTTGTCCAAAAACAAAACGTCCTCACAAAAGCAAATGCTGTTCTGGAACGAAGTCATGGGATCAATATATTTTTGGGGAAACGAAAATGTCCGCTTATAAGTTTCCTAGTTATAATTCGCTTTGTAATGACGTTTTGTTGATAGGGGCAGAATTCTTTCATGCTTTTTAGCTATGCGCTTAGAAAACATTGATAGATATTCCCCGCGAATAGCCTTAAAGGGCATATAATACAATTTTTTAAGGTACGGCAAATAACATCGTCCTTTTTGGTTGTGGACGTTTTGGCGCACCTTGCTTCATTAGAGGCACTGTTCCATTATCAATGATAATCCACAATGTGATTGAAAGACAATTGGCCGCGAATTTTCGCATGCTTTCAGAATCGGCCTCCGACAGTTCGTGATTCGATAGCAATACAGTGCATAATCTTCATCGTATGGCACACTATGGAAAGTGGCAGTATTTCACAGGTATTCCAAATATAGCTGTATACGCCTTTTAATTATCGGAATGGTAAATAAAATTACTGTCGCACAAGTTTTTTGCCACATTTCATGACACAAAACCGTCAATTTGTGAAGCAGAATTTTTATAGCTTGACCCACTCCTCGTTTCTTCAAAGCAAGGGGATTTTCATGGGTGCTAAATTTCATTTCCCGCCTCCAAACGCGATTTATTTGAAATTGTGCATATTTGTATCAATTTCCATTTCTCGTGAAACGCGCAAAAGCAAGAGTCTATGGCATGCATTACTTAACAGCTTTAAAATAACTTGGTTATCGGGAAACGCCTGGTTCCGCCATATCTCGGCCTGCTTTCCCTCCTTAAAACGGAATCTAAATGAATTCTTCCTAAGTAGAAGAAGTCCTGCGCCCCAAATCAATTCAATAAATAAAAGCGATTACACTAAATGCAAGTTGTACTACCCACTCAAGCGTCGGTCACGATATTTCATGACTCAGGTCATCTGCCTCGAATAATTTTGAGGTCTCAGTATGCTACATCTTTAGGTTCATTGATTTGACACTTCGAATGTCGCTACCAAGGATAATAAGTATTTTTCCCACAGCATGGCGAATGCAGAGCCGGCGACAAGCACACTAATTAGTTTATAGAAATTGTAGACGCTCGTCGAATCCACCACACCTTCTTTTCCTTAACTCGTCTAACAAGACAGTCAAGAAGCCCGAAGGCGGGATCGGGTGCATTGGCGGACAAGCCTAAATAACCTGCCTGCGCAAGCCACCCGCGACTAATCTGCGCAAAATGGGCAAGTATCTCACCAAAACAACAAAGGGAGGCTCGAATCCCGACTGAGTAAGGGTGCCTAAGAGGCCGTATTAAGCCGGAGAACTTGCAGCCGAACACACTTTTCTGAGTGCACTGACTCATCCCGTCAATTCGTAACCTTCGAAACTGGAGATTTAGGGCACCTTGGGAGTCCACATGCGCATCAGGATTTTTGTAGTGGAAAATATACGTAGGGGACTGTGGGGACGCAGTCCCACAGTCGACGACACTCAAACTGTCTTTTCCCAGGCATCACTCTACTGCCGGAGCCGGTCGGCTATCCAATGAGGATATTGGGCATTGTTGCCGACAGAGCTGAAACGGCCTGCATACGCGTGCCACTCACATGACTCGCCCCCGCACGACACGTCAGTACTTCCCACGATTCGATGGGTAGCTCAGATCTCATGTATCAAAGTGGCGTAGATATCGCTTGGAGAAGGAGACGAAAAACCCGCTTGCCACTTGCATTACTGGTGCCTAATCTCTGCCTGTGGCGTGTGATACCGTAGGTGTGTCGTGGTCAGAGGACTTGTGATAACGTAGTCTAGTCTAACATTAATTACCGCAGATTTTCATGGGGCACATTTTGACTGGATGTGGGTGGGCGGTATTGACAGTTGAGGCGGGTGCAACGGATGTTTGTTCGCCCTCCAAGCACTGGTTCACAAGTCGCTCAGCAATGGATTTGTCAGCGACCGACCAAGCTGCACACCCATACAATCTAGTAAAGTTGCCTGCCCTCTCACAACCGAAAGATGCTGTGATAAATATGTTTTATGGAGGCGGCCTTTAGCGATCTGTCCGCTTCCAATAGAATTGGTAATAAAGTGGGAACACAACTCTGTCTGCATGCACACTATTTGATAAATATTTCTTTTTTCTTATGGAAGTCATTGTGGGCTTGGGAAAAGACAGCCCGCCCAGTTGTTTTTCCTTTAATGTCTTTAGACGTTAATAAGATAAGGCATGCATTACCGTCCAAACGGGCACATGGGATTCAATATTCCTGTTCATTTAAGACCCTACTACGAAAAATAAGGATTAAAAACAGCGAGTTGTTTTTGTAATTTTTTATTTGTTTCTGCGTGCACGGTCTTACCCAATCGTTCTGACGCGCTGCAAACCGTCCCGGTTCTTGTGAGCAGTTCCGTTTGCAGCGTAGTTTTTCTGTATCTTTGTCAACCGTTTTGAAATTTCGCTTTATGTGCTGCACGGTTACCCACTACGCTATGTTTTATTCTACTCGTCTTATGTGACAATGTAAGTAGTCGCACTTCGCTCTGCTTGCAACCCCTCCATGTTCCTTCCGTCTTTAATTTTCTGCTAAGTACCTTGGGGTTCACTCCGGATGATATACTGTTAAAGTTCTTGAAGAACGACGCTTCATGAATCCGGGGCGCATAGCTCCAAAACTGCTCGCCACTTCTGTCTTTTAGTCGACAAGCTTAACTCGCTATCGTGGAAAGTCCTCATTGATAATCTTCTTCATATCATGTCCCTGTAACTTAAAATGTTTCCTAATTAACAAAGTAACTGGGTTGGCATTTGCGAGAATAGTCGTGTCTAGCAGGCTAGTATTTTGTTCGTCTCAATCAATTTGTACTCTCTTTAATCGGCTTAATAAAGCCTTGCTTTTCGAACTCAGGGACGAACTCCGTTTGGCTGTGGTTGGCGTCTTCGCCATTGCTCCTTACACGCGATGAGTGCCCTTCGCAATTACAGACACGTATTAACATTAGATAACATCAATCCGAATGTTGTCCACATGCAATATGCCGTGCGTGGACCGATTGTCACTAGATCAATTGAACTTGAAAAAGAAATTAAATCGGGAAAAGTGAAGAAGTTTGATCACGTTGTAAAGTGCAACATCGGTGACTGCCACGCTACAGGCCAACGTCCAATTACTTTCTTGAGACAGGTGATTGCCCTCTGTTCCTATCCCGCGCTTTTGGATGATCCACAATTTCCGGATGATGTCAAAGAGAGGGCCCGAAGAATTTTGGCCGGTTGTGCAGGGCACAGTATAGGCAAGGAAGAATCCGATGCAGTTTTACACTTATTTATTTAATGTCGACTTTTCTTTTTTATTATATTCGACATAATTAAGTGTCTGCATAGCATTTTTTCTCTAAACAACTGGCCTCATCCATTTGTCGATGTGTTTGCATATTCTATTTGAATTTTTAACCATTGCTTTAGTTTCGTCTCAAGGTTTCCCACCAACCAGACTGCAATTTATCAGCTAGGGAATTTATCTAGTTCGTGCTACACTAAGACTGTTTGCGCTCATCGATATTACATATAAAAGTGGGAACTTACATTCTCGCACCTCTTATGAGTTTGAATATGCAGGTTGGCCAACTGCAGATCGTTATAACATTCGGATAAAAAATAGCAAGTTTTGTCGTTCTTTGAAATAAAGAAGATGAGTACTGCCTAGTACTTGACCCACTCTTTTTGCTTTCACAGGTTCCTACAGCGTTTCTACAGGAGTTGAATTCGTTCGTGAGGATGTGGCAAAATATATATTCGAGAGAGATGGCATTCCCGCCGACCCAGCAAATATCTTCCTCTCTAATGGTGCTAGTGAAGCTGTGAAGGTTTGGATCTTATTCTCTTATAATCGACCTGTTCCGTCACTGCGTTTCTTTGCTTATGCGTGTGCGAAAATGACGGAAGTTTACTCACGTCCATTCTCTTTCTTCAGGCCGTGTTGTTGCTTCTTTCGACAACTCTACCTGGAGAGGACCGAGCCGGCGTTATGGTGCCCATTCCGCAGTATCCCCTCTACTCTGCCACGAACTCGGAGTACAATGCATACCAGGTGCGCTTTCTAATACGTTGTCCTTTAGCGTATTCTGCTAGGGAATGTCAATTTCCTTCGAGTATTTGCGTACGGAAAATAATCTGGAAGGGGGCGCTCGCCGATCGTTCTTGCGGAACTCACTCGTCCCGTTGTGCCTTACGGGCTCTCTCTCGAGCCCAACCAGCGACCGTACAGCGGCGCATGATATAGGCAGTATGTTATTACCGACAAAGACAAGGTAGACTGGAATGGCCATTTCTGGCTTATTAGCCGACGTCAGCCAGTCATGCCCAACCCCGAAGTGTGGAACACCCGAGGCTCAAACTCGCGACCTGTTAGCTAGAAGTCCACACCTCTAACCACTGGGCACGAGCCTGTTGCCCTGTCGGTTTCGATCGGGAATATACAATGGTAGGGGGCGCTCACCGATCATTCTTACGGGACTCACTCGTTCCGTTGTGCCTTATGGGCTCTCTATATTGTCATGAAAACCCCTAGGTTGTGGTTTTGGGCTTTTTTTCAAAAGTCCGATGCGTTATAGAATTCCTGTTCATATTGAACACTTCTGGTGGACGTGGAATCATTTGTAACCCTGACTGAGGCCACGATGACGGAAATTGTCAAAAGTATGGCATTCAACTATAGAGGCGGCAACGGTAGAGGATTGCAATTAAGTTTTACAAAAGTTATCTTGAAGCTTTCACTGAATGAGGCGTAACGAACTACCTTGATAAAATTAAAAGTTCTATGAACTCACTTCTAAGTGTTCGGATCACTCTGACCCTACCTATGGCCACGGGGAGGTTTTTCGCTCGAATAGCAGCTATCCTAAATGTAGGCTGCTTACCTGGTCCATCTGTATGGAAGAAAACTTTAGGGCGCACGCTCTCGATAAGTACACGACAGTGTCGGAAAAAAATGCTTGAGTTTATGGCGACAGTCCACTTTGACTCTCAACTTGCGAAAATCGTATGTATGGCTGTATTTTCATGTTGCGAAGTCAGGTCTTATCACGTCAGATCAATATTTAGGTGGATAGTTTTTCTCATATGGTGACTGCATATTTATTAAATATTTGTTCACATTCAATTAAAAAGATTGACTACTACCTTGATGAGGAAAACAACTGGAATCTGGACCCCGCTGAGTTAGAGCGGGCAATCACCGCGTGCATGCCACACTGCAAACCACGCGCCCTAGTTGTTATCAATCCAGGAAACCCAACCGGTCAAGTTCTTGCACGCGATTCAATGGAGGCGATTATCCGCTTTGTTAAGGATCATAATCTCGTTTTGCTGGCCGATGAGGTCTACCAACACAATATTTACGACAAAGAGAATCACCCTTGGACCAGCTTCAAGCGTGTTCTCCACGATATGGGTCCAGAATATTCGAACGTCGTCGAAATGGCCTCCTTCATGTCCGCCAGCAAGGGCTACATGGGAGAGTAAGTCGATTTCTTATTTGGTGTGTTGTGAAGGCATAATAAATTAATATATAGCATTACTGCGCTCACCTAATCTGGACTTTTTGCTGTGCATCAGTCATCGTATGTGATTGTAATGCGTCTTTCAACGCCTTATTAATTTGTGGCGTACGTAATCAGAACTAATGTAACACTACGTCAATTCAGAAATATCTTTAGCCTCATAAGTTGGACACTCATGTAACAGCGCTGTCTGCTAAAGACTTAAACCGTGGGCCAAAGTAGGGTTGTTCTACATACTTCGGTGGGAAATGTTTTGCTGTAATTCACGAGTTTTTCTGAAATTATGATTGCCGAATATCTGTTAGTTTGTTATAATTTAAGCAAACCCCACAACTCTTCTAATAGATTATGAGCAGGAATGACAGTTATCGCACCGGTATCGGCCGCCTTGCACTTTTAGAATTTTTTAAATCAATTGTTTGGGGGAGCGAGTTGCACCGAAGAACGCCTCGCATATTTCTTTTTAAATAGACGAATTGTAGGTAACTCATTCCGAAAAACTTTACCGGTTCTGGCTAATGAGATTATTTGTCAAGTTCTGTCATCGAAATGTATAACTGATAAACATAACCGAGATATAAGTGGCACCCTCTGGCTTACTTGTCCCCGTAATCAGCCAGGTATTTCCGAATTCCAAAACTGGATGGTCTGAGATTCTTACCCAGGTATGGGTTCTTTATTGGAATTAGTGCCATATCTGTGGGAGTTGAAAGAGTTACGTCTCTTGGGACTGGCTGTTACCGCCCTGGCCTTCCGTTCTCATCTCGGCTTCGGAAGTGAAACGAAACGTCCTTAATGACAGTCCTGTTTTCATTAGTTTACCTACTTTCCATCCCCCTGCGGCGGACTTCTGCAATTCGTGCCTTTACCAGATAGAAGTTTCCCTTTGGTCAAATAGGCTCAACTGTGTCGATCACGGGTTCATCATAGGGGGCCCAATCACCAGACAATGTGATGACAGTTGTTGTTTGCCCTTGCTTTCTCCACATTCCTCAGTCTACTTCACCACTTCGAAGCACACTTTTCCATGCAGTCAGATATAGCTCCCGTAAAAGCGCTGTTGGGCTGGACAACCGCCATCAATGGCAACTATCGAGGCCAATTATTTTGCCAACAAACTTTGCTCGCGAAGTACTTGGTGATGATACTGGGTTCTGCCAACATTGTCAGTGCAGAGGGCGATCTCCAGACACGTGCTTCACATTGTAAACTGTTCTTTTCGGTGTCTATAGCCGCCTTTTGGTGATAGAGATCGGCAGATGATCCACGGCTCCTGATTTCTGGAGAATTTTCGAGTCTACGAATTGTTCAGTCAGGTCCATCTATTTCGCATCAGAATGTCATCAACGTGTCGGGGGTCGCTCGTCTGTATGTTGAATGAAAACTCGGTGATGGGGCTTAAATGGCACTTTTTATGTGCATAATCAACTATTTCGTGTCTAGATAGACGTTGACCCTTTCTCCCCGTGTCCATTCGCCTCGGCTTTGTCTTATGCGTCTAATTTGGGGTGAAGTTTTGCCCTCCACAAGGCTTGACTACAGGAGTGGCATCTGGTATAACATAGAATTTTTGTCCGTCTCTACTTCTCTATGTCATGGCTTTTCTTTCCTTTTCAATCTCCGTTCTGTGCTTGTGAGGGCAAATCTTACGAAACGTGAGCCCGACATAATCTTAGGACTCGGTGTTCTTTTCACTTAGTGGAGGCCGACATTACAGAAAACCTATTAGCCTTCCTGCATACCCTGTGAGTACGTACCCTCCCTGGTTTTGACTTTTCTACCAGCTGACAGGGAGCAGTAACAGCAGCGGTCGCTATTTGTGTCTTTAATGTGTATTAACTGTCATTCCCAACTATGAATCCTTCTGCTGGGTCTTGCGGAATCCGGGCCGCGCTTGGTATTTTGCGGAAAATACGAGCGAGTCGGTTGGATCGTGATGCGGGTATTCTAGTCTCCACAGTTTACTAAGTCACCTAGTTGACGCCCAAAGCGAGCATTGCGATGACATTTGACAGCTAGCTGGCTGGAAAATTTTGGTCTCTCCCCTCAGCCGCCTCAATCTGAGCACTTTTACCGTCCGTTCAACTGTCTCTCTCTAGATGTCGCTTGAGGGCAGCGGTTTTAGCCGCTATGGCGATTTATCCCTTTGTTCTACCTCAGAAAAATCCCCTCTAAAATTGGGGAAGAGTTAAGAAGTGGACAGTCGGATCATTCAGTCAAACGTTTTGCCACATCCTGTTTGGCAAACCGACCGCGTTGGTACTGCATTTGGTTTGAGTGTCAGCTTCATTTTAAATGTCGCGCGAGTGGCGTTCACTTACATATTTGGGCGGAATTCAGGCGTTTTGTGGATATCCAGTCGGTAAAATCTCCTGCTTGCTTGTGTGGACGCCGTTCCCACGTAGGAACATTGACTCAACTCGTAAAGCGTCTCGTTCAATAGTCAACTGGACCCGCGTCCACACCGCGTGTTCCGAATTTGACCGCCCGATAATGGGAAGCAGACTGGAGACGACTATTCCCCCCCCCCTCATCGGATTTCATCGCCCCTTGCTGATTCATTTGCTTGCGGATGCAAGTCATGTGATGGGAGTTGATAACGTTGGCAAAAAGTCAGCTGACTTCTAATTATCCTCATCAGCTGTCTGACTTGAAGGTCACTCCCTCGTACTTTTCCTTCCCTCTTCCCAGACATTCATCAAAATCTGGGCCGCTGGTCTTCTGCTGGCTGCACTCAGGAGTTCCAAACTTTCACGCCTCTCTTCTTACTCGTGTCCTTGCCTCGTTGTAGATGCGGATTTCGCGGTGGATACTGTGAGCTCACCAACTTCCACCCAGACGTGAAGGCGCAGCTCTACAAGTACCTGTCTGCCCGACTCTGTCCGGCCGTCCTGGGCCAGGTGAGCTACCCCACTCTGCCGCTCATGTCATTGAATGTTGCAGAGGGCAATGAAGTTTTCGCCCGACTACCATTAAGGTAGTGGTGGTCCGTACGTGGACTTTTTGGCGACTTGTGTTGCGCCTGTCTCGCTGCCTCACTTCCCACGCCGGTCGTTTCCACTAGCAAACAAAAATTAGCGAGACAGGCGAGGTGCATGGGTGCCTTGTCCGGTGAGATTAAATACTACGTCTTGATTTCCCACGCGTACTAGTCCCTTCTTCCCATGAACCGGACCTCAAGAATGAGGAGCGGATCGAGTCTTGCACTAGGGAAAACTCACTTTCGACCCTGCTTAAGACTGAGTCATCCTGTCGGTTGGAAACCTCTTCGACCCCCCCAACTGATGGCACATCGTGGTAGCTGTAGCGTGCGTTTGCTTGCTTTTATCTGGTAAAATAAAGCAATTTAAGATGACCTTTTCCTGTCGACGTGTGCAGCGCCTTCGTCCACCAACCACCAGCTGGTGTAGAATGGCAAGGCTCTCTTATGAGTTTGTCCAAGCAAGCACGTCCATGATTTAGTAATTAAGCAATTCTGTGATCACATGTGCTCCAACCTCCAGGTGCGGGCGCAAAAAAGGGGCTTACTGTTCTGTACTGTCGACTTCTTCCTTAAATCAGTAATCAGAGATCTGAGGGTGGACTAGTGTAAGTACGGAGGCTGACCGGATAAATCCACTCCACCCCTCGCCCTGTCCATGGCTGTGTTGGCCTTGATTGTCGTCACCGATCACGGGTGGGGGGGGGGGGTGGCCTGCGTCCTTCAGCCCGGTCTCCAGCCGCCCTACTCTCGACACGTCCTGCCATTGTCTTGGCAGCCAATTCGGAGGCGTGATTCTGTTCTAGACTGACTACTACATCCACAAATGGTCATTCCAAGCTCCGTTTATTGTTGTCGGTAATATTATTCTGCCTCTACCACCAGTCGCTGTGCGGCTGCTGTCGGAGCTCGAGATTGAGCCCCAACGAACAAAGCGAGATGACGAGCGTCCCTCTACCATTTTCCATGTCTGATCGCAGCCGACAGGACAACGGGCCCGTGGCTCAGTGGTTAAGGCGTTAGACCTCCAACCAACATTTCTGCGAGATCGAGCCTCAGGCGTTGCAAAAAACCTGGGGTCAGGTTTGGCTGACTGATGGTGGCTAATGAGCCATAGATGATAATTCCAGTTTCCCTTGTCTTCGTCGGTAATGTTATTCTGACACACCTTCATCGGCAGACTTTCGTGTGATTGATTCGAACTGTGGACACATACTGTCCTTTTCTGGTTGTCTTTTGATCTCCAGGGGTTCTCCCCCGAGATCGCACGAAAACCCGTGATATCGAGGTCTGATTTTTGCTATCACTTTTACCCCTTTGCTCCTTCTCCTCCTTCCAAGGCAATGATTGGAACTATCTGCAATCCGCCGAAGCCAGGTGATCCCTCCTACGAGCTATTCCTATCAGAACGGGACACCGTACTCCGGGATCTAGCCGAGAAGGCCAGGCTGACTACGGAGACCCTCAACTCTCTGGAGGGAGTCTCCTGCAACCCCGTCCAGGGAGCCATGTACGCCTTCCCAAGACTTCAGCTGCCCGAAAAGGCCATCCAGAAGGCCAAGGTGAGTCGGGAGTCGGTGGGTGTGCTTTTCCCCCCTCAGGTGGTATTGAGGCAGTCAGCTTGACTTGGACCCCTTACACTCGTCTTTGTGCCTTTTTCTCTGCCGCCTGCGGCATAGGAGGAGGGAATGGAGCCTGATTTCTTCTACTGCCTCAGTCTCCTGGAAGAAAAGGGCATCTGTTTCGTGCCCGGTTCCGGATTTGGCCAACGTCCTGGTTCATACCATTTCCGGTGAGTGTCTGAACCCTAACGGAGGGGGGCATTTTCACTCTCATACACGAAGATGAAAGTAATGACTTGGGCAAAACCATGATGCTCTCTAGACCTTTTCGGCCAGGTTTATTTGATGCTTGTTGAAGGTTCTGATCCATATCCTTTCCACTAAACGATGACCACGTTGACACTTCGCATGACGGGCAATGCCCCTGAAACCGTACAGTACTTTAGTATAACCGGTTTTTATGGTGCCTTCTTACTTGCCTCCGCACTATCCAATAACCCATTCGTTGCACTCTGTAGCTACCGTCAGTGCCCAAGCATGGGACAGTGGCCTGCGCGTAACTCGAATTATGACGACCGAGGTTTGTGCAGCATCTGCCTCCTTTCTCTCCTCACTCTCATTGTAGTTTGATGGCAGGGTACGGCAAGACCGTAGTTAGCAGTCTGACGTTAAGCCTCCGTCTACACGGGCCGCACACGTGCTAGCCTGTCAACCCACATGGGGCAGCTGGCAGTCACATCAGGAAGGGACCTCTGCGATCAGCTGCCTCCTCGGAGACCCGCGTTATACCGCCTTACAGGCCGCGACTTTTGGGTTGCGTCAGGTTCACTACTGTGGGCAAAGATCGTACAACAGGCTCGACCTTGTGTTTTGTGCTTCCGGTTAGAGTCAGGAAAGTCAAACTGAGCCCAGGGATCGTTTATGCCATATTCACTTGAGGCGGGGGGGGGGGACACCGTTTGCGTATTAGTGCTGACCTTTGAGATGAAACGAAAAATGGACTGGGTGTTACTTTTCGTGCTCTAATAACCTGATGAGAATACTTGTCCTCCTTCTGTTTGCTTTCCTAATCAGCAGTGTAGAGACGGAGTCGTCAAGTGTTCCCTGTGGATTGAAACCCCCGTCTATGTCAGAAGCAAAGTGCTGTAAAATCACCTTTTCGGATACTGTTCAGAGGCTTCTAGCAGACCTGAGGTGTTCTCTCCCACTTTAACGCATCTGAACCTCAATAACATTATTTCGGAATCAGCATACCAGACTGAAAAAACGCATGGGCGTGACACTGTCTAATCTATTCCGACTAAAGCAGGTAAATGGGCAATGAAGAATCCCATCTGAATGCTTCCGATGGAAACCGAGAAGATGCGAGGTTGTGGCGGTGTGTTTGATTTGAAAACGCTCGAAGACTAATTAATGTAGGTTAAAATCTCGGACGCCGCTCCTCCCCGGTGGTTGGATCATGGCTGATTGATCCGAGCAAAGTAACCAGAAATGGCCATCCCAGTTTTGGTAATACCCCCTTAAACGTGAACCGCCCTGTCCTGGCCCCTGTCGTCGGAGGTATTTTCTGTGTTTACGGAGATTTACAAACGTCAGCCGTTTAAGGATGATGAGCTGGGCGCTTTCCATAGACAATGACTGTCCCTCTTGGATGGCGTGTGATCACAAAACCCATTATAAACGAACCATTGTAGATGACGTCTGGCATCCAGTCACTTTGTTACTCTGTTCCCGACTTCTAAACGACCATCTTGCTCTCACAGTCCAAGTTAGAGATCGCAGACTTTAGGGGGCAGAGCAACGACTTTCAGACTTATCTTTACTCAGCGTTACATGTTCTTGTGGGCTCAGCTGGTGATCCTCTGTCCCTCTCCGTTCCCCCTTTTTATTTGCACACCGGCTCCCAGTCGGCACTGGCCGTCAGACAAGATAGTAATGTAACTGATCGATTTTCCTCCCCCCGGCAGCACCACTATCCTCCCGTCTGTGCCAGTGATGCGCAGCGTGATGGCCGACTTGGCAGACTTCCATAAATCCTTCCTGCAACGCTTCTCTTAACACACCCGCCTGCCCACCCGTCCTCTCTCACCCGAGTTCTACCTCCGTCCCCAACGTCCCGCCTACCTCAGAAGCCATCGCGCCAGGGAGTTTGGGGGATGGAGAGACAGCGCAAGAGAGAGAGAGATGGAATCGGTTTTCAGCACTTTTTGAAAACAAAATTATGTTTTTTTCAATCTCCCTTCCCCCCCCCCCACCCCCCGACGCTCCTCTTTTCACCTTATTTGTGTACTGACGTCCAATCGAGATTCCTTTCTCACATTCGCTCCCCCCAACCTCCTTTTGCAGGCTTTGTTTATTTTCGATTTCTCATTTCCCTCCGACTTACCACTCAAGTTGAAGGAAATTATATTTTTTTGCCCTAATAACCGGCCTCCTTCGTACGTCATCAGATCAATGTTGGGCAGGCCAGACAGGTGCAGAAGAGGAGTCAGGATAGACTATACGAGAGCAAGCGCTAGCAGAAAGCAGCATATGTATATATAATGGTAGGGGTCGCTCACCGATCGTTCATACGGAACTCACTCGTTCCGTTGTGCCTTAAGAGCTCTCTCTCGAGCCCAACCAGCAGCCGCACAGCTGCGCATGATATAGGCAGTATGTTATTACCGACAAAGACAAGGGAGACTGGAATGGCCATTTCTGGCTTATTAGCCGTCGTCAGCCAGCCATACCCAAGCCCGAAGTGTGGAACACCCGAGCCTCGAACTCGCGACCTGTTGGTTTAGAAGTCAACGCCTCTACTCACCGGGCCACGAGCCCGTTGCCTTGTCGGTTTTCGATCGGGAATATACAATGGTAGGGGGCGCTCACCGATCGTTCATACGGAACTCACTCGTTCCGTTGTGCCTTATGGACTCTCTCTCGAGCCCAACCAGCAGCCGCACAGCGGCGCATGATATACAGGCAGAATAGCATTACCGACAAAGACAACGGAGACTGGAATGGCCATTTCTGGCTTATTAGCCGTCGTCAGCCGGCCATACCCAAGCCCGAAGTGTGGAACACCCGAGCCTCGAACTCGCGACCTGTTGGTTTAGAAGTCCACGCCTCTACCTACCGGGCCACAAGCCCGTTGCCCTGTCGGTTTTCGATCGGGAATATACAACGGTAGGCAGCGCTCACCGATCGTTCTTACGGAACTCACTCGTTCCGTTGTGCTTTACGGGCTCTCTCTCGAGTCCAACCAGCCAGCTGGCTGACGACGGCTAATAAGCCAGAAATGGCCATTCCAGTCTCCCTTGTCTTTGTCGGTAATATCCTTCTGCCTATGTATATATATATATATATATATATATGGCCAAATTTCTCAGCAGCTACAATGAATACTCCGTGAAGGTTATCTCCGCGCAGAACCCAGAGACACTGCAGAGCCAGGCGATTCGGTATGATCCGGAGGGAGAGAGAGTTGGTTTCTCTCGTTTGGCAGTTGTCCAGCTGCCGATGAATCTTCCTGCATGCCCGGCGACGAGTGCGGATACGCTGTGGGGATCACCGTCTTCAGTGCGCTTGGCGGTTAGTCAATGCAAAGCCTTGTTGCGGCTCTCAGGTTGTCTTCGTTCTTTGGCGGGCTTGAAGTCGCCTGTCACTCCTTGGAGTTCTGGTTCAGGATGTGCTGCAGAGTTCTAGTTTTTGGGGTGCAGATATTTCGCTAGTCCAACGCCGTGGCATGCGTTTTCACGGGTAAATTAAGATTACAAAATAGGCAGCATAAGTACGCCTTGAGCCAGTTTCTCCCTGCGACTTGCAGTATCAGACCGAATTTGTTGTCGCCTTTAACAAGTATGACTTGCTGTAACGACCAATAGCACCGATGTTCAACACCGATACAGGAAGATGAAGTGTCAGTTCAGCTTTTCCACCCGACTGCAAGCTCCTGAGTTGCCTGCATCTTCCATCCCAGACTGGCTAGAGGCCTATGACTTCCAGCGGGTGTTTCGGGGGTGTTCTGAAGTAATCAGTCGTTCAAGCCAACTTCGAAGAGGACAGGGTGACAAAGAAGCCCAAAAATAAAATCCTCGTGTGACTTACTCATAACCAATGAAGATGACCCAAGGTGTCAGTTCGGCGCGATTTGTGGAGGTGAGCTCATTCAGGGTGCATAGGTACTCTAGTTGAACGCGTTCAGCGAGGCCTGGATCCATCCCGGAAACAGTTCCAAATGTGGTTTTGGGTATAATGTTCAGCTAGACTGGCCCAGATCTTGGCTGCCGTCTTGATCGGAGGGAGAAAATCGCCTGGCGCAAAACGCACCCAGCTTTCCCTTAAAAGCCCGCCGACATCCACCGAATTGGGAGTCGACCGCTTACGGGGCCAGTTGGGCATCGGTTACTGGTTGAGGTACTGGATTAAAAGCACTGTTTTCTCAGAGATGCCGTCTTGCACCAATTCCTTCGGGTTTCCGTAGTCGGTAGTCATTATCAAGGCAGGAGGCCAGCGCTAAATTCCACGGGGTCAGGATTAGTGTTGGGCTTTGCGGTTAGGGTTGGAGCTAAAGCAAGGATCCTGGAAAAAGCAGCCCCTGCAATTTAGCGCAAGACCAGCTATTACACGGCTCATCCCATCAATCTTTTGCTTAACCCCGTGGCGTGGGCTTTCGCGTATAAGTGAGGATTGCAAAATAGATGGCACAAATATGCCCTGAGCCAGTTTCACGTAAAGGTGAAATCTCCCGTAGGCAGGTTTCACCGCGACTGCCCAATTTGCTGACACATAGATTTACTTTGAAGGAAACATTAGCAAATCTATGAATAATAGCACACGCGAGTACTCACAAAAATATGTGTCGTAGACTCATAGAAAAATTACAATGTACACGTTCTACAAATAAACTAATTATCGACAACGATTTTCTCCAAAATTAGTATACGAAATACTCCTTATCCTTCCCATTTGATGCGATTGCAATTATACTAACTTTCAAAGATCAAAGCAAAGGTGAACTTCAGTCAAGGTCACATTTCATTTAAGGAAATTTCTACGAGTGTCAAAGATGAGACCCGTTCAAGATTTGACTGGCTTCCGTTCAGGAAGTTGGCTTAAAGTGGTGTTCGACACAAACCGCATTCATACTCTCGCCTAAACAAACATTTCTACTAGACTGCGCATCAGAATACTTCAGACAATTTTATACAATTTCCGGCATATCCCGTAGGCTCGCATAACAGAATCTCGTTAGTTGAAACCTTCCTGTGGCTTTCAATATCAGACCGAATTTGTTGTAGTCTGCAGGTCAATCTCACAGTTACTACGATCCCAATCTAAGTACAGCGCAGCTGCCTCGTCCAAATAAATGAAATGTTCCTCGGCTGCTCGTTAAATTTCGGCCTTTCAATATTTCTTGTCTAGGAAGGGTACCCACTCCCGAATCTGAACCCCGGACGCAACCCCAACTCTATCTTAAACCCAATCCTAAACTTAACCCCCAACAGTATATATATTCGCAGAAAATTAACGAAGAATCACATGTTTTGCTGCGCACTGTGTCCTGCTGAGCGTGGGGGGAGAGGGCATATCAGCAACCCCCTACCGAGGGACTTCCCCCAACATCAATCTCATTTTCTCGGATAGGGAAAGGGCGGTTCTCAGTTCATGCCGAAGTTTGGAATGGATTCGGCAGTCTGAGGTAAAACATTAGACTGTTGTAATTTTTCATGAATTAATATCCTTAATATAGAGAATTCAAATCCCAGAAGCAAATCGTTTGAAGAAACACCAGCTGACTGCACATGTAAAGCTTTCAAAACTCCAATTTCACTTTGACGTAATATTGGGAAAACGATAAAATTCATTAGAAGTGGTTAATTACACGGGCTGTACAAGGCATACATTTTGCGGACTCTCCCCAACAGTGGGGAAAATTCTGCTATTCATTACTAACTGACAAAAAGCTAAAATCAGGTCCGAAGCCTGAATTATCATCTTCTCAAAAACGTCGGTGGTTTCTTATCCGTTTCTAACGATTGGCTGCGCCTATGAATGTCTACGTCAACCTGTAATTATAAATGCTAGTTAATGTCCGCATCATTTACTTACCAGATATCGACAGGAGAATGCAATTATGTTACTTCGATTAAAGTTCCTTCAATAAATTCCAACGAGAGGCGATCGGCTAAGGTCACACCAAATTCTTAAAAGTCGCCTCGAAAAAACCCGAATTTTCTCCCTAAAGTTCCAAAATCCCCGGACGCACATGCCCGAAGAAATTAAACTCTAACACTGGGCGACGTTTCAACTGCTTGCATATAGGACGTTTATTATCCAAATGCGAATTTATTGTAATGACATTTTAAATTTCCAGTTTATTGTCATTAGTACGGTTGTGTCCACTGACTGTCACCTACTATGAACTGTCCAGTTGCCACTAACCATTCTGGATAATAGGAGCAAATTCATGAAAGACTTTGATGAAGACACAAACAGTTGGCGGACCAGCTTCGCGAACATATACATCGCGACAGAAAGGAGTTCTAAAAAATCGACCGTAGCAGAACACACTCATACGATGCACATTTATACCCAACAGCAATAAGAACGACGATCCAGCCCGCAGCAATTCAACTCGTATCGAAAAAACCAGACATTATATCGAAAGGGTTAGAGATTCTAAGACGTACTTACTAGAAGCAATTACACAATAACACAGGAGACGTTTCAACTGCGTGCATATAAAAAAACTTATCATTTAAATGCATGCTTTATTGCGGTGCGTCTTAAGTTTTGCACTTAATGTCACTGGTACGATTATTTCCGCAGACTCGCATCTTCTATGAACTGTCAGATCGCCACTAGCGTTCATCTGTTTTCGCCGGTTGGATAACATTGATGAAGACAGAGATGTTGGCGTGTCAACTTAGCAAACATCCACACCGCGACAGAATGGAGTCATACAAAAAATTGATTGCAGCAGAACACACTCCTAGGATGCACATTTACCCGCAATAGCAATTAGAACGATGATCCGGTCAGCTGCAATCCGAGAAACATCAAGGATGAGAACA